TTAAATTTATAAATTATAAACAATATATAATAACGATTATTTTATATATATAACAACATATTTTTATACATATATATTATACTTTTTTTCAATCAAAAATGTTATAAAAAATAATTAAATATATTTATATAATATAAATAAAAAATCATTTCATTTATTTTTGTTAATCCGATTAGTCAACCGAATAATCTAAATGTTTTGGTTCGGTTTTATGTTAATATCTCATGATGCACATTATTGATTGTCACGATGCACGCTATTGTTAGACTAGATGCACATTAATATGTTGGAGATTGCACATTAACATATCAATTAGCATTTTTCACAAATTATTAAGATTTTGATTATTTTTGGAGATTGCACATTAACATATCAATTACCATTTTTCACAAATTATTAAGATTTTGATTATTTCAGCTCGAGTTTGGCTTTTTTCACAAAAATATTAAACAAATAAAAATATAATAATTGATTGAACTATACAAAAAAATATATATTTTTTTATATTTTATCTTTATATACATATATATTATTTATTTTCATCAAACAACATTTATTAACTAAGAAATTATAAATACTAAAATAGTTCTATAAAAAAAATAGTTATACTTCAAGTGCATGTTAGAGTTAGTCGTACACTCGTATAGCACATTACTCAATGCCAGATTGCATATTAGTGTTAGACGGATTGCATATTAGTGACAGTGAGATTGCACTATATCTGACCGAACCGGACGAAATATTTTTTTGGGATCGAAATTTATGTCGGTTAGATTATATGTGTTTGCTTTAAAATTTTAGTACAACGAAAAAAATGGACCGTCCATACTAAATAAATAAATAATATTTGTTATATTTTATAAAAAATATAATTTTTCAATAAAAAAAGAATTAAAAAGTGCCAGATGAAAATATTTGTGTGCAATCTACATAACATTAATGTGCAATTTATTTATCGTTAACGTGCAATTTACATATCATTAATGTGCAATTATTAAAATTATTATAAATTGTAAATTTAATCTATTAATTGAATTGTAGTATATTGAAGTTTATAAATTGCAATTGAGTTCCTTAAACATATCAAATTTCAAAAAAAAAAAAAAAAAAACTGATAAACACTATTGCACATTCTGCAGCTCGTTTGTAGATTTTGTAATTTTTTTTAATTTTTAATGTGCATATACATACACGTTAGTGTGCAATTTATTTATCGTTAATGTGCAATATAACAAACAGTCATGTGCAGTGTTTTGAATAGTAAATTGCAACAGTGTCAGAGAATCACTTTAATGAAAAACTTATTGCACAATAACGGTCGAAACTGCTCAATATAACCGACATAAATTCCGTTTGGTTTCAATTCAGTTTGGGACAAAATTTTGTTCGAATCAGTATGCACAATACTGGCCGATACAATGCACTATTGTGTTAGAGGAATCGCACTTTAATAACTGTTAGATTGCACATTATAATTTGTTTATTAGAATATTATATTTTTTTAATAAAAAAATGATATAAATAATTAAATCAACAATATTACAACACTAATTATGTTTTTATAATATAAATAATATTTATTTTTATTATTTCTGTTTCAACATCATCTAAGTCGATTAAACATAACGGTTCTTATAATGTGCTTGAAAAATCACAATAAGGTGCATATTTGTATTGTTAATGTGCAATATATTAAATTTTTGATAAATTACAAAAACATCCTACTACTAAAATAATATATAACAAAAGTTCTGAAATTGCACAAAAACCTCTACAATATGTCTAATTTCCATCACAAAGCCCCACAACCAAAAAAAAAATAAAAAAATAAAAAGAAAATTTCTGTCGCTCACGCACACACATACAATACACACACACACACATGGCTGCAGCTGCCGTCCGCCGTCACACGCCCCGTCGTCCCGGCCGTATTTTCCGGTCAGAGACACCGCCGCCGAGACCATCACAACCTAGAAGCATGTATCAATCGCCGGCAACGAGCTGCGGCAGTTAATGTTGGACTCCGCCGCCGCCAACCACCACACCGCACGGCCGTCTTATCAGTCAGATCTGTCGCCGCCGCTCCGTCGCGTGCTGGAAGTAGGTCCCCGTCACTGGCAATGAATTGTTGTCATGAATGATGGCCCCGACAGTAGCGCTCGACGCCATATTGGCCGCGCCGGACTGCGGCTGTCTATTCGACAGATGTGGCCGTGAATGCCGGGACCGTCGTGGTGCTCGACGGCATGATGGTCGTGTTGGACGGCGGCGTCGGAGGCGGCTGTTGCGGCGGCGGTTGGGTGGGTGACGGCAGCTGCGAGATCTGGCTCCGGCTGAGCTTCTAACGTCGTTTGCCGGGAGAGCCGTTTCAGCCGTGTGTGTGTGTGTGTGTGTGTGTTGCAGATCCGAAATCGATCGTGAGGGTGAGGAGAGAGACATTGAGGAAAGAAAAAAGGTGGGTGAGGAGAGAGAGAGATAAAGGAGAGAGAAAAGATGGGATGGAGTGGTTTTGTGGTGGGTCCCACATAATATATGTGTATTGACCAACTTATCCTTAATTATTGGTCAAATGCATATATTTGACCACACTATGATCAAATAATTACTAGATTGCCATTAATGATTGACCAAACTTTGACTTCATCTTAACCATTAATATGATTGATCCCATGGTACAGATTCATTCTTATTTCTTACACCAACTCCCTTTCTCATATGATCCAAATTATATATATATATATATATATATATATATATATATATATATATATATGTTNAACAAGAGTCGGGGACAATCGTTGTCCCAAATAAAAAACGTTGTGTCCAAGAAAGCATTCAATAATTTATAAATTTTTGTACCTTCTTTGCAATCCATTTATTTTTGTTACATATATATATATATATATAAATTATATTAATTTTAATATTTCACACGTTAAACATTCCAGAAAAATATATCATCCCGTGCATCGCACGGGTTACACGCTAGTGTCTTCAAAATTGGATGGTCAAATAATTGCATCTCTTTTTAGCTGCATTTGCTCCATCTACTGTCTGCCCATTTATCAAACTAGATTCTAACACTATACGTCAAATAAATAGTTTTTTGGCTAACTATATATATCTCCCATCGTGAGCCAGTGGTTTCGCTCCTCTTTTATTTCACTTTTTGTTTAACGTTATTATTTTCTAAGGCAGTTGTTTGACTTTATTCAAAAAACATTTTCCAAATCATACATGTTTATCTCTAAGTGTAGGAAAGTGTTGTACTAGTTATATATTTACTCACATTAGTTATTTTCTTCAATTTATTAACATCAATCAGCTAATTTTACTAAACGCTTTAGCACAATCCGCTAATGTTATCTGTCAGTCAAAACATCCTATACAATCCGCTGGTCAAAACAGCTGATGTAACCCGCTAACAGCTAACCGCTGATTGTCAAACAAGGCCAATGTTATAAAATGTTGTTGGTGTGTTCTTCAACTGCACCTGTCAATTATAATGTCATAATTATAATGTTATAAAATGTTGCTGGTGTGTTCTCCAAAATTTGTTTATGCATATTGGTCAAAATGTTTATTCTACTATAAAGTTCGTATTAATAGTAGTATTTAATCTTTTTTGTCTCAATTTCTTATTTTTCTCCAAACATGCATTTGGATCACATCCTGACCTTTTTTCAGATAATTTATATTCTTGAATTATCATTGTCAATTCTTATGTATGACATGTGTTCTTAACTATGTTAATGTCAAAAGAGAAGAGTCCCAAACCATCAACTGACAGAAGCAAAATTCTTTTCATTTGTGTTACCAGATGGAGGACTCAGAATCACACACTCATTTCCCATTTATCAAGAGGGGCAAATGTTCATTGCTTTATGCTACTTTTGCGGAGGAATCGAATATTGAGCTAGCAAATGTATATTTATCAAAGTAGAGAGAATGAGTTAAGAGTCAAGTACAGCGAATGAGTTAAACGTTAATTCTATATCAAAGGACTAACATGTATATATTACATAACAAATATTAAGAAAATCACTGGGCCGACCATGCATCGCATAGCCGGAGCTTGCTAGTTCATTAAGAAAATTAAATAGATGAAGGCATCTACTTAATTCTCATTTTGATTAAAGGATTTGAGTTGAGACCGAGATTAAAACATATTCAACCTATTAATGAAATGCATATGAACATGCTATGCTTCTCCTAAATAAATGGGGCGTTACCTGTGGAATGTAATACTGGACTTGGTCCAAGAAAGGAAATAACAAAAGCAACCGAATAGAATCTTTTCATAGGTTATGGTAGTAAAATTCCCAAATAGTACATATTTGAATACATTAGAAAAGGTAGAACAAAAAGTATAATTAGTTAAATACCGGTGAAACAATGGAGATGATGGAGGGGGGGAGGCTACACTGCAGCATCCAACCACTCCAAACTACTCTTATGCACCACAATTTTGCACATAGGAATGTAGAAAGGTAACTCGATTCTATCGAATTCTTGCGCAACAAGATTGAATAAAAAAACACCAGTCCAGTGCTTCTCTTCATAAGATTTCAGGGCCAACAACTCTGAATACTTGACCCACCCAACTGGGATTAAAACTCATCATGTCGGATACCTAATTGTTCGAATCTTCCCTTGTGAGCCTCCAATGAAAAATCTGCCTTCTTTCTCCATTCCCCCCTTTCCGGTCGACTCATCTCCCAAATCTCCCACG